AGATGGGAAAATATTCGACCGGTAATCAGCCAATCAGAGCGCGCTTACGGTCAAAGTCATATAATAAAATGTCATATTGTAGTCAACATATCAGATAACTCCCAACTTTTTCACACCTTTAACCATAGTTAAAATAATGAGATGCTAACGTACATTTTGATTGGAAAATGTTGCAGTGAGTACAGAAACTAATAGTCTATACAGATGCCTGTGTGATTAATCCAACTGTAATTGGCTTATTTATATTAGATCTATTTTTGAATCATGTCTCAACTTCAAAATCCCCTTATTTAAAGCCCACAACATGACTTTTTATGACAATACGTTGCTCTCGTCCCATACTGTAGACGGGATGGCCAAACTGTCATTGCATTTTTAAATAAGCCCTGACAAGCTGACAGTGAAAATGGCTCCTATATAAAGCAACCGGGCATTCATCCACTCCAGCCTGAGAGCCATTGACACAAATACACTGACCCATACTGTGGCAACCGGTCTACAGTGGCAGGCTAAAGCCGAGTGATGAATCGCTAATGACTACACTTCTAACAGATGTCAACGAAGTCAATGTCTCTTTCCATATTAGTCCTCTTTCACTCTACATGCGTGCTGCGTTGAGAGGAAAGTCAATAGTGTTCACCCAGGAAAAAAGTCTCTGAGACCCAAAATAGCAGCTGGACTGACACACTCAAAACTTTTAGGGCAAAAGTGAGTGTTTCTTCCAAACGCTGGCGGCAATAGTTTTAGTCTGGAGTTCAAAACATAGATATTTGGTAATTCTGGCTTTGAAGGATGGAATTATGAATAATTTTAGAGTTCAGCCTTAAACTATGACCCAACAATGACCCTATTTACATAAACAGATGGCTTCTGATGAGGAGAGAATCGAATGGATGAAACTTTTATGTACTCGAAGACGAGCAAATCTAAAATGTGCATAGTTTATCGATGAAAATACATAAATTAATTAAAAAGACGGATGAATCTTGGCAAGAGTGCGACACTAATGGCCGTGCCGGTAATGAGAGGCTAAAACTAAAAAACTGTGAAGAAAACTGAGAATTTCTAAAATCTGCTGTAATTTCACAGCTGCAATAATTAGCGTTGAGGATTTATTCCAGTTAAGTGACAGTTCCTATCGATGCAGTCACTGGTGTGGAAGAAAGGAGATTAAGAGCCTAGTTAAAATCTCCAACTCTATGTCGGAGTACGAAAAGCGCCATATCTGAGAAGCAAGTCACTTGCAAGTTTTTTCTGTCATTTGACCGTTTCCTTTATAAACTGAAAATAATCTATCTTCAAAAGCGCAGATGTGGTCTTTATAAATCACACATTGCAGCTTCACCAAAGTGTACGGGAAATTTCAATTACGTCCTAACATCTAGAGCCCACATAGCTTTGGAAACGTATAATCACTTGTAGTACTTCTACACTGCTTTAATTCAACCTTTAGAAGTTCTGGGGTTATTACTTTCAACGAGAGCTCAGCCCAACAAAAACATTTTGTGAAAGCTTAGGCTGAGTTTACACGGAGACAATGTGGCAGTAAAACGGTATAGTTGGATGTCGGTTGCTACCAACCCGTTCATACGAAGACAGTGTTCCAGGGAGGTGAAAACGTAAGTGTTCAGATCCAGCCTGCAGAGTGGGACAACTCAGAAACGCTGCACAGCAGGGAGCTCTTTCACACCCGCGAGAGGGGAAAAGGTGTGAAATCCCCCTCTGCTCTGACCCCCGCCTCTGCGCTGCTCCCCGCACGTAAATTTGGACATGCGCAGTAGCAGAGAACAAACATCAACAACAATGGCGCCGCCCACACAAACTAGAGCTACGTGGGCTTCCAGCGCGGCACAGAGGATAATTCTACTCCTTCGTTCGTCCAAACGAGACCACGCGAAGCTCTAGGTTCAGTTCCCATGTTCACAGCTGCTGTTAAAATGCAGAATGATGCTGGTACTCTCTGAGGGTCTGGCACAGGAAGTGAGTATACTGCCGAGAGGGGGGCTGGGCACGGGGCTGGGGGTCGTGTGAGTGTTGTAAAGTTTTTCTGCCCACTACTGGCCGGCCGCTAGAACTACATAGTTTTTCAACCTCATGTGAACGCTGAGAAATTTGCATTAGGAGCCAGGTCGTTTCTGTTAATAGCCTGGAAACGTCTGCGCAGCGTCTCAGTATAAACAGGGCCTAGGCTGCAAGACTTGTAAGGCCAAAGGGTACGCAGGGATGATTGCAATAGACCCTGACAGTAAACAAAAGTCAAATGTTGACTGAGGTTGTACTGGGAAATGTAATACAATAGTAAAGGCATGGTTTACACATCATTTTGATACTCATTACTTTTTCCTTACCAATGTGGGAGTTTCTAAGGACAGTCATGATCTGGGACATATAAAGAACCTATACCCAATTTTTTTAATTTTTTATGAGTTAATAAAACATGCTCATTACTACAAACAAGTTGTATTATAATCCGTAATTGAATTGAAAACTTGAGCTCATTGATTCAGCTGTGTATGAAGGCCGTAAAAAGTGATGAGTAGAAACTTAGCGTGATGCTCGCTCTCCAATCACAGAACGAGGCTGCGTCCTCTAGCCTCTACAGCGCTGCTAAACACATTAGCATGTTAGCAGAATTGACTATAACTCGTCTTGCTGTAATTGCATACACAGCAAAACAGCCCAAATGACACAACAGTGAGGAAGAGAAGAGGGAACTAGGCAAAAAAAATATCAAAGAAGAAATCAAGCCCGGGTGAACATAGCTAGCTTACATTGTATCCTCTGTATCCTCTGTATCCTCTGAGACAAAGAGACTTGTCTATGGAGACCTGCAGGACCGCCTCGAACTATCTATGCTCAGACTACATTCGGACGCAAAACTAGCGGTAATCTTTCAGTTATATATTTTGTTAGCAGTGCGTTGCTTTTGTACCATTTCATCAGTGATTACAAGAAGTTGTGCTAATGCTAATGTTTGCATATGTATCAGATCGCAAATAAAACTAGATGGCTCCGTGGGATGAGAGCGTAGGGGAAATGAGAGACCTGTGAGCAAGTTGAGGGGCAGTGCTAAACATCCAAACCTTGCAGAAACGGGTATAGCTCCTTTAGGGACATTATTATGGACCAATCACTCTTCTGTGTTTGTTATAGGGCTATACAAAAGTAAACTAAATTGAATTGAACTAATCTGCACCTTGAACTCACATTGCAATACACACTGCTGTGGAAATCTTAGATATGATTTAAAAATCTGGACAAGTCAATGTGCATGTACTATATTCACGGTCATCACTAAACTGAAATCTGAACTACATTGTGTACCTTGAGCATACTCAAGTTACAATAGAAATTCCATAGCAGCACTATGAGAACTATTTAATAATCATGCAGGTTTAGTGTTGTGGGCGAACTCACTTTCAACAGCTGCTCCGCATCTTCCTTTCTTCTTATTTTTCTCCCCTGTTCGCACCGAGTAAAACTTGTTGGCCTGACCTTTCCAAAGTTTGAGCCAACGAAGACTGACAGCCACTCAACATAATTTAAAGCACGCAATGAGGCAGTGATTAAAACTGGGTGCCAAAAGTTTCACACATGAGACAATAAAGATAGACAGCTCATACATCAACTCCTTGAGCAACATCGGGATCATTCAAAGCAAGTGTGATCACCAAGACAACAAATGGCGACCCACATCTTGATAAAACTCATCTGACAGCAGCACGGGCTAAATTCAGACCATGATAATAACTCATCCCATCCCGCCTCTAGTTGTTGTTGCCTGGTTAGACCCCATTCCCGAGTACATTGCGTTGAAAAAGCATGTAAGAATAAGGATTAGGGTTAGAAACACGCTTTATTCAATGGGATTAACAAAGCGGTCAGAGCTGTTTGTTCCTGTCTACATGCAACCTGTGGAGAAGCTTCACAAGGCTCCATACCTGATGATGCTTTCAAAGGCATCTTGTACATTTTTGTCTTGATATACTCAAACTATGTAACTGTAATTACCTCCACCCAGAAGGTAAAGTGATCTCTGTTTGACTGTGACTGTGTTATGCCCAGTGATTACATTTGTGATCAAAATAACCATTTGGATGCAGGATTATGTTAAAGGATATGAAACTGCAACTCTAGCAGGGGATCTGAACTCTACAAATGTATTCTTATAAGCCCTAAATAACAACACTAGTTATTTCCGAGGATTTACTCAACTGTTGAATTTGCCAACACAGATCATAGAATCAAACAGTTGCAATGATACACACATCCGACTAATGTCCAAAAATGTTGATAAAGGTCCATGGATCATCACCACGCTCCTTATGATATGCTAGATCCTCCTGCATGGGCAGGGAAAAACTCTAAAACCCAGTGGGAAAAGGTGAGAAACCTTGGGGAGGCCCCCATTGAGAGAGGGATCCGCTCCCAGAGACGGACAGACTATATATCCAGGACTCGAGGACCAAGGCCCTGCAGTGTAGAGGCAGCTACCAGGCAGGGTGAATAATAATGCCATCATACTGTATAATACAGTCGGCAAATATAATCACAACATTTTGTTTACGATGGGAATTTGATTTTCTGTAGCTCAAATCATTGCATTTCTGCAGTGTCTTAAACGCACAATGATGTTAGTATGTTAACTTTCACTTTTGGTATGCATAACATTCAAAAACTATTACAACAGTGTGCAGAGACGGACTGAATGTGTCATTGCAATTATCCAAATTAATGTGTAGCCTATATGGCTTTTCCCTGAGCTCTAAGATGCATCACAATCAATTGTCTCAAAAGGATCCAGTTTCCGTGGATACACGCAGTCTCAACCACAGCTGAAGCAAAAGCACAGCATTTTTACACCACAAGTTTACATGCGTTTTCACCAATCAAATTATAATGGACTTAGATACACAACAAAGGAAGGTTGCTCACCTGTGGACTAAGATACAGTTTTCACCAAGGCTTTGTACAGCTATGAGTGAAGTTGTGGGACTCACCGGGTCTTTAGCTTGCTGGGCTAGCACGGCGTAGGTGGAGATGCGGCTGCAGAGACATTTGGTGTGGACAGCGGTGGATGCTTGTGTTTGGCAGCCCTCTGTGCCCCAGTTTTCGGCGCCAGCTTCCCTGGAGGGGGGGGGGGGAGAAAGAGGGGAAATGGGGTTGTCAATAGAGTGGAAACAGATCTATTACATGCGAGCACAGTAGTGACTTGAGCTTGCATGTGGTAGAAAGCTTTACTATTGTTTGTTATTATGCAAAAGCGGAATTAAACGATGGAAGAATTCATATCCAGCAATCCTGATGAGACTTTGTCTGCAGCGGCTAATTAGGAATGTTAAAGCTGGGAACCACAAACCGATGACTATGTAATAAAATCTATGTAACTATGGTTCCGAGCTCTCACAATAGTTTCTGTCGCAAGCGTTCACATGCATGTATTTTTGGCCTCTGTCAAATCTTCAGATCAGCTTCTGTGAAAAAACAGTTTTCCAGCCCTCACAAGGCCAATCAGCCAAGTGATCAACTGAAACTTTGGGATAAACACAATGTATTCATGAAACAAGCTTTAACTGGGGTACCTAAAAAGTATGGCTTTAATTATATGTTTCAGGTTTGTTGCTATTTATTTATGTAAGGTGACTAAAAATTGTACCATAAAAACAGATACTAAATTTGAAATTATTGAAGCTATACCCGATTTTTTTTCTAAGTAGGTCATAACAATGCTTTTTACTACACACAAGTTGTATCATAATACATAGTTTAATTGAAACCTGAGGTCATTGATTTAGCGGTGTATGAGTTTAGGCCTTGAAAAGTTCTGAACAGAATCTGAGCGGGACGCTCGTTCTCCTCCACTCACAGAACGAGCAGCGAACAGCCTGCGTCCTCTAGCCTCTACAGCCCTCCTTAACACCAGGGCTTCGACTTGAAAATTCGAATACCTCCTGTGTGGTACCAGTGCCCAAGAAACCATGGGCCAAAGACCTCAGCGATTTCAGGCCAGTGGCTCTAACATCCCACTGCATGAAGACACTGGAGAGACTGGTCCTGGGACATCTCCGCTCCACTCTGAGCCCAGCGATGGACCCGCTGCAGTTCGCGTATACCGGCCGGGCATCGGAGTAGAGGACGCCATCATCTCCCTCCTCCATCGCTTGCTGTCCCACCTTGAGAAACCCGGCCCCGCTGTGAGGATTATGTTCTTCGACTTCTCCAGCGCCTTCAACACCATCCAGCCGAGGCTTCTCAGGGACAAGCTGGAGACAGCTGGAGTGGACTACGACCTGTCTGAGTGGATCCTGGACTACCTCACAGACAGACCCCAGTTTGTGAGAACCAGGGACTACGTGTCTGAGGTCCTGACCTGCAGTGTGGGGGCCCCCCAGGGGACAGTCCTCCACCGTTCCTCTTCACCCTCTACACTGCGGACTTCAGACACAACACGGACGGTTGTGTTCTACAGAAGTTCTCTGACGACTCTACCATCATCGGACTCAGCTCCGAGGACGATGATACAGAGTACAGAGGAGTTATACAGGACTTTGTGGACTGGTGTCAGCGGAACCACCTCCTCATCAACGCGGGGAAGACCAAGGAGATGGTGGTGGATTTCCGCAGACGTCACTCTGCCGCTCCAGCTCCAGTGAACATCCAGGGAAAGGACATCGAGAGAGTGGACTCTTACAGGTACCTGGGTGTTCATCTGAACCACAAACTGGACTGGACTCATAACACAGACGCCCTCTTCAAGAAGGGCCAGAGCTGCCTCTACTTGCTGAGGACGCTTAGGTCTTTTGGAGTGCAGGGGCCACTCTTGAAGACTTTCTATGACCCTGTGGTGGCATCAGCCTCTTGTACGGTGTGGACTGCTGGAACAGCAGTATCACAGAGAGGGACAGGAAGAAGCTGGACAAGGTCATCAGGAAGTCCAGCTCAGTCCTGGGCTGTTCCCTGGACACAGTGCAGCAGGTGGGGGACAGGAGGGTCCTGAGCAAACTAACATCTATGCTGGACCATGACTGTCACCCCCTGCAGGACACTCTCTCTGCTCTGGAGAGCAGCTTCAGTGACAGACTAATTCACCCTCGATGTGTGAAGGAGAGGTTTCGCAGATCTTTCCTTCCTGCTGCTGTCAGACTGTACAACGAGAATGTGTAACAGGAACTGCTGAGTCTGCACAAGTGTCACTGATAATTCACTAGTCACTTTACCTGTTATCAGTACTACTACACTGAAAAAAGTGATTTTGGCGAGTTGTAAATATAATCTATGTAAACCGTATATATTTTACTCGATTATTGTAGCCAGCCATGAAATGATAAAATAATGGGTACATTTTACACATGCTACCTAATTGTTAACAGTAACAACTGTTATGTAGAAAATATGGTAAAATATACCCCAAAGAATTTGGTAAAATACACCCCAAAGACGTGAGCCCTGTGGCCTTGCTTGCGCATGCGTCAGTCCTCGTTCCCAATAGGTTGAGTCAAACGATCAGACCACGTTTTTCAGCCATCTTGGAGCGCCACCGTCCTTTTGCGCCGGATGCCTACAGCCAAATGAGTAAAGGTAAGCTATTTGCATGGGGCTATTGCTGTATATAATGCAGATGCAAATGATAATTTATAACGTGACGAAATATTTCACTTGGCTTGTATTCGGAGCTAAAGCGGAGGCAGTCCGAAGGATTAGCCTCCACCAATGGCCTTCACGTGTTAGAAACCGGAGTTCTTTACTTTTACAAAGACGCACATCAACGTGGTTTCTCGTAAACACCGGGAGATACAGTGGTAAGGTAATAATTGTAATAATTGCGTCTGGACCAGTGCTGAGACGGTCTGTTAGACGAGAATTCACACTGGAAATTGACGAGCTAACTAGACACAGGGACGAGTCTTTGGGTTAAAAATAAGTTCCAACACTAGATCAATGATCGTCCCCTGCGGCCGCCCCGCGCTGTGGGGAGGACGAGCCGCGTGAGCACTCCGTGAAACTCCGCTGCTCTCCCCATGCTGACACAGCGGAGCTCATTCAGTTCAATTGTAACGAGACACTTTGACCCAGTAACGATAACGGCGTTGTAACAACGGGGAGAGTAAGGAATTAGATTACTCCGTTACTGAAACAATAACGTCGTTACCTAACGCCGTTATTTTAAACAGCGTTATTCCAAACACTGCTTACAGTACAGACCAAAAGTTTGGAAACACTTTTGATGTATCAGCATTTCTTTACTTTCAAAACTATTTACTTTGTCTGATTCTCATTGAAGGCATTAAACTATGAATTAACACATGCAATTATGTAAGAAACAAAAAAGGGTGAAAAAGCTCAAAATATTTTTTAAATGTTTAATTCTTCAAAATCAGCACTCTTCGTTGTTGGCATTTTCTCAATGAGCTTCATTTAATAAGGTCGACATCCGAAATGGTTGAACAGTTTGTGAAGTTCAAACTATTTCTGGTGACGACATTGTGGTGCTCAATGAGAAAATGTCAAAAGTGTAAAGCAGGAATCAAAGCAAAATGTGGCCAAAATGTGAATTTATTTTAATTTTTTTCTGTTTAAAACATAATTCCATATATGTTCATTCATAAATGAATACCTTCAATGAGAAACTACAATGTAAACAGTCTTGGAACTAAAAGAAAAAAACAATTTAGAAAAAAGCGTCTTTTGGTCTGTACTGTATATTCCAGCAACTTAACCAATCATGCAAGATAAACCGAACTGTTGATGTTTAATAAATATTGAAATTATTATTGAGAATAATATGTTTAATGTTTTTTTGTTTGTTTTTTCTGTTGCAGTTAGAATCTGTTCATGGACCTTATGTGGGGCTGACCCACCCACCCAAACTAACCCCATACACCAGGTATCTTAATATTTTTTTATTTATTTTGCCATTCCTTTTATCACTACTTGCAAAAATGAACTGGAAGTGCAAGTTGTGCAACTTCACAACATCAAGAAGATTATACCTTCTGAAACACAGCAGACTAATACATGGGCATTTAGGTCGTGTTCACTCAATGCCCTGCCTCCATGAAAATTGTCCTTGTAATTTTAAGTCATGGGGTGCATTAAGGACACATTTGTCAAGACATCACTCTCAAGCAACACAGCTAGGCATCTTTTCGTTCACGTGCATTGTCTGCAATTCATATTCTGACAATGAGAGGCAATTTTTTGAACATCTTGGTGGCCATTTAAAAAAATTTGAAACAGTGCCCTGTGTATTTGAGGGGTGTGCTTACAAAACCAATATATATGCATCATTCCACAGCCACAAAAGTAGAAAACATAACCCACACTCAGTGGAAGATTTCAAAACCACTGTTCTTCACCAATACCCAAAGAATAAGGATGAAGAAGTGGATCTTGTTGAGGATGTTGAAGATGACTTTGGCTCTGTCCTGGAAGTGGAGGAGGATTTGAACAAGATCATCACTGACAGAGTGGGGTTGCTTCTCTTGAAAATGGACAGCATTTTCAATGTCTCCAATTCCTGTATCGACCAGCTCATAGAGGAGCTTCAATTCCTTACAGCGTCTGCATCTGCCCCTGTCATTAAAGACATAATCCTGAGCACTTTGAGAAAACATGATTGTATGATTGAAGACTCAGTAATGACAGAAATTGTCAAAGACCTTTGCCAGCGAAGCCCTGTCTCTGCTGCTTTACGAGTGGATGGGCCCTTAAGCAGCAAGTTTAGAAGAGAGCAATTTCGAAAGGATCATTTATCATCTGTTGAGCCAGTTGAATACATACTTGACAGTAGAGAGAAAAAATCATTACAATATGTTCCGATCCTTCCTTTATTGTCTCAACTTTTGGACAAAAAACACATTCGAAATGCCATATTACAACACAAAAAGCCGTCTGAAGTCTCTTCCGCATACAAATCATTTAATGATGGGTCTTTACTGAAAGAGAATGCCTTTTTATGTGAAGATGAACTTAAACTGCCACTCATCCTTTATATAGATGACTTTGAGGTGTGCAACCCTCTGGGAACATCCCGCAAGAAACATAAAGTCACTGCTGTGTACTGGGTGTTTGCAGACATACCTGCCACATTGAGATCTACACTGACTTCCATTTACTTGAACATCTTGTGCAAGGCTAATGACGTCAAACAGTTTGGCTATGCAAAAGTTTTGGACCCACTGCTCAAAGATTTGAAGTCCTTTGAAGATGATGGCATTTTTGTTCAAAGCATGGGTAAAGTTGTCAAGGGCACTATACTTGCTGTTGTCGCCGACAACCTTGGAGCTCACTCAATAGGTGGGTTTGTGGAAAGCTTTTCAGGTTCACATTTCTGTCGGTTATGCACTGGAGAACGGTCACAGATCCAGAAGCACGAAGTAGCAGAAGGACTGTTTCCACCACGGACCAAGTCCAACTATGCCATGCATGTCAAAGCAGCACTGTCTGATCCCACAGGAGGTCATCACTGTGGCGTTAAAAGACAGTGTCCCATCTCAGGCAAACTCAGTCACTTTCATGTTACATCAGGTTATCCCGTAGATCCTTTGCATGATTTGCTTGAAGGGATTGTGCCTGTGGAAATATCACTTTGTCTTGACGTGTTTATCAGAAAGAAGTACTTCTCCCTTCAGGAACTCAACCATTCCATCCGTTCCTTTCCGTATAAATGGAGTGATAAGGCAAACAGTCCACAACCCATTGCCCCAAACTTCACATCACGAAAAAGTGTAGGAGGTAATGCACATGAAAACTGGTGCTTGTTGAGAATGATGCCTCTCATGATTGGGGACAAAGTACCAGAAGATGATCCTGCGTGGGAGGTTTTGATGACCCTAAGAGATGTTGTTGAGCTTGTCATGGCTCCTCTCCACACAGATGAGTCAATAGGATACATGGAAAGTAAGATTTCAGAACACCGTTACAGATTTTTGAAAGTGTTTCCAGAGGAGAAAGTGAGACCAAAACATCACTTTCTAGAGCACTATCCTTGGCTTACAACGGTTTACGGGCCACTGGTAAATTTCTGGACCATGAGGTTTGAAGCCAAACATCGATTCTTTAAAAGGATTGTGAGGCAGACTGGATGTTTTAGAAACATTCTCATGACAATGGCAAAAAAACACCAAGCAATGATTGCATATCATACCCACGACTGCAACAACCAAAGGCCAGCACTGTCACTGTCCAAGAAGACTGATATACCAGTCGATCTGTTAAAAGACAGCATTAGGGAGTCCTTTGCTAGGAAGTTCCCTGGGGAAGACCTTGTGACCATGACAAATAAAGCCACCATTTTAGGCACAGACTACAATGTTGGAATGCTGCTGCCGTTTGGCTCAACAGGAGGCCTACCTGACTTTGGAGAAATCCAGCAAATAATCGTTGTGAAGGAAACTCCTGTTTTTGTTTTGAAGTTGCTTAGTGGCTGGTATTGTGAACACCTGAGAAGCTTCAGACTGGAGCCAACAGGAGAGACAGAAATCATGAAACATTCTGAATTGAAAGAAACATACCCCTTGGCTGCATATAATACAGCAGATGGATGTGTGGTGTCCCTTAAGCACTTCATTTGCACATCAGAGTAAGTGTAATGGGTTTATTATTTCATATCAAAGTTATGTGCTTACCAATAGGGATAGGGCATATATTTTTTTGGACGTGGACGATATGCTTTTATTGATTAGGGCTGGGACGATACCTTTGTCACGATCCAATACTTGTGTGGCGATCTGATAGTATTAAGAAACTTAAATATTATAAAGATTAACCTTAAGATATGTATTAAAAAAGGAATGTTTCCAAAGTTTTAACTTAAATGCCATTTGACATTTAGTGTGTCACAATTGAAAAGTGCATTAACTGTTCCAGAGACTCCTCATTTACACTGAATCAGTCACATTTTTAGAGCGTTTTCCACATAGCCACATAATGTACTGTAGTTTACAGAGTCTACGTTTAGAATACTATTTTATGAAGTATTGGTGGCTTACTTCTTAGTGAAAACAAACACTGTAGGAGTATATTTTTAATCTCTAGATATTTACCCCATGTAAAGGAAATGTGTGTTTCTGCATCTACAAGCTGCATATGAGGCCGCTGAGAGTAGGTCTTGCTCCTTTCTCTTCACTTGCATCTCGGCTCATCCACCTCCGTCTCCTTTCCTTGTCTCTTTTGTCTGCTCTCCGCTCATCTCCTACTTGGAAAGGCGCTGATCAACACATTGTCTTGTATCAGCGCGTAGAAGAAAAGGCTACTCCGGTCCCTGATGTTTACATTTGTTTTAGTACGTTTGCAAGTGATAAAGTTTTAAAAGCTGTGGCAAGCGCTGGGTCTCGGTCCATGATTACTGTGGAGACCCCCTTGGATTTCCCTTTATTATTTTCAGCTTCACGTATGAGAGGCGTTACAACTTCTACACACTATCCGGCAGCACATTGACGTTATGACCAGTGTAACGCTATCAAAA